TTGTCATGTCGTACACTGACCGACGTCTCCCTTCACCCACATTTCTGCTGCCCGTCCCCCAGAGAGGGGGCTATATGTAGATCCTTGTCATCGGTTCCCCCTTTCTGTCCCCCTTCCCTCTTCCCTCCCCCTATCGCCACTCTCACCACTGGTCCTTGGGGCTCATCCGCCCTGGATTCCCTGTGTTTCCAGTTCCTACCTGTACCAGTGCACATCCTCTGGTCTAGTCAAAGTATCTTCTGGCATTCATTTTAATCTTTTATTTATTTTTCCTTCTGGTGTTTTTAATGACCTTTTGCTTTCTTCCTGTACCAAGTCCTTAGTGTCATCCACAAATCATCTGATTTTCAGTCATTAGTGTTCACTGCACACGTCTGTTCTTGTGACGGTCTCGAAATTCAGGCAGGATATACTCAAGGTTATGCTTTGGCTCTTGTAGATTTGTTTAAATTTTCTATAGCTTTAGCTTTCATATAAGCAAAGGATGGGACATTCCACAATTGCCCTTAGTCTTGTTCTGACTGATGACTTTGAGGTTTTGCATTGTTCCTTTCCACAGATATAATGGATTTGATTCCTGTTTATTTCATTTGTTGAAATTCACTTATGCAGTCACTGTTTATGTTATTGAAAAAAAGGTATTTGCAATGAGTAAGTCGTTGATCTTTCAAAATTCTGTCATATGATTTCTAACGTTTTATCATAAAGACCGTGTTTTCCAACTATTGATCCTTCTTTGTCCCTAAATTTCCAATTCCAGTTACCTGTGATTATAAATATATCTTAATTGCATGTTTAATCAATTTCAGACTTCTTTAGTTGGTAAAAATCTTCAGTTTTTTTCATCTTTGGTATTAATGCTTGGTACATGAATGCGAATAGTAGTTGTATTAGGTGGTCTTTCTTGTAGGTCTCTGGATATTATCGTATCGTTGACAGCATTATACTTCAGGGTAGATTTGGAAATGCTCTTTTTAAAGTTGAATGTGATACCATTTTTCTTCAATTTGTTATTCATGCTTGGTACACCATATAATTATCTGAATCAAAATGGCCGACACCGGTCCATATCAGCTTATTAATGTCTCAGATATTGATCTTTAAGCATTCCATTTCATTTTTGTCTACTCCAGTTTTCCTTGACCCGTACTTTACACATTCCACATTCTGGTTATTAATGGATGCCTACAGCTGTTCCTTTTGTTTTTGAGTCATGTCATATCAGCAAATGAAGGTCTTGAAGCATTTTAATACATATTATTACTGTTCTTGAGAATGTACATAGCAGAAAATATAACAAGTCAAGTATTTCTACGTGTACAATTCAGTGACATTGATAACGTTCTTTGAGTGTGGAACCAATCTAACCGTGTGTGATGGTGAAGAGCGCGTGTCAAATTGGCTAGACAATGATTCTCAGAGGTTTTGTAGATGTAGGTCTGATGGTTCTTCCATAATGTAATATAATCACCTTCTGTTTTGTAGTCTAGTGTGAACAGTCAGTCAGTTCTAAGCCAGTCAATTGGGAGGTGTGGTCTGCATCTAATATCTATGGATGGTCTGACCAAACGTAACTCTATTTTCATCCTGCATCCAACTCTCATTACCCTCTGACCTCCAGTTCGTAGACTATGAGCTATCAGCCTTTGCTATGACCTGTATATTTTAAGAGTTTCCAGCTTTTCTAGTCCTGTGAGCCAGCATCCTGATGTCTCAATTGCCAGTTTTGTGTTCACCAGTTCCTTGTAACTACATGAGTCAGGAGAAGCCATTAGTTTGACACCTGGTTCACGGGTTTGGGAATTGCCAGACTCTGCAATGGCATGGGTGATTTTATTTTAATAAATCTCTCCATGTATATATTTATATATATACACTTCATTAGTTTTGTTCATTTAGAAAACTCAGCCTGACACCTTCATTTCCCAACTTGCTCACCCATTAATAACTTGGTATCCCCAAAGACTCCTATCTTATCTTTAGAGTTGCTGTTGTCAATTTGATTCCATATACATCACGTTAAAAGCACACAGTGCTCAAGGCAGACATTCTTTACTAGCTCAACTAAATTATTGCTTGGTTTTTCTGGAAACTTCAGGGGATATTTTGGTTTGAGGTTTAGAGATTATCTGAGGGCAATAATTTCAGGGGCTTATCCAGCCTCAATGACTCCAGAGTGTGGATTCCATGAGAAATAAAGCGTTTGTTCTGCATTTTCTTTCTTCTGATAGCTGTTATTCTAGAGGATCATTGTTCAAGATGTTCAGTAATGGTAGCGAGGCACCATCCAGTTTTTTCTGATCTCAGAGGGAATCAGATAGGAAAGGGGGCAATTGGACAGGGAAGCAAAAATCTACACATCCATCCACTCTTATGCCTATATTAAAAAGTCAGTGTTCTGACCATGTATAGTACCCTAATTGTATCCTAAATGCCTGGTTGTTAATTTCCGATTAGGGATGTGTTATGAGGGAAGTGAACAATAGGATGTTCACCTATCAGAAACACGTTTTTCTTTTATTCCTGTGTGTTTTCCTGTCCTATCGTTTCAATTCGAGCTGCTGAAATGGAACAGGCTGAAATGTTGACTGCTTGATATGCTTACTGACCATGGCAACATAGGTCATGAGGAAGCTTCATGCATCCACGTGTTTGACTTCAAACCTGAATGCCAGTAAGAAAGTTTGCTGTCTGTGTTCTCCATTAGCGAAAGCTCTCTCTTCCTCTTTTGCCGATCTGCATTTCAGCAGTCACAGAGAAGAGAGTGGTTTAGTGCATTATTCTCAAGCTCTGGGCACATAGTGGGCATTCAGTACAGTTGAAACATCAGAGGGCGTTGATGAGCAGAAAACAAGATGAGTGGCATGGGAAAGATTATGCCGTTGGCTACCAGTGGAGAACTGAGCCTTTCCTCTGTAAACCAAACCCCAGCCTGAGACGGACGCCAAGATAAATTTCCAGGGCATAAAAGTTTAGCCACATTTGCCCAGTGATTAAAAGGAGTTAATTAAGGTGCATCAACAGTGTCCTAGGTCTAGAAGATTAAAAGAGTTGGGGAATCTCCCAGGAGAGAGAGAGAGAGAGGAGAGAATATCCCTGTATGCAAGCATGTGTGTATTCATGTTTTAACTTACTGTTTTTAAAAATTCTGGCTTTATTTTTACAGAATTAAAAAAAAGATCATATTTTCTTCTTCGGTAAAATACACACCTTTCTCTTTCAAAGTTGAAAATGATGCAGTCTAGTTTCATTGGGGTATTTTAAACAAAAATTCACTTGAATGTATGATACCAGAGTTTGTATTGTCCTTGGAATTTATGCTAACTTAATTCAGGCAGCCAAGGGCCTATAAAATACCTTTTTTTCTCTTTTTACTATTTTTCCTTGTTACTTGTTAGGTCCTCAAGGAAAAAAATAAAAATATAAACTGAAACTGATTTAGACATATTTCAAAATCTTTTTAAAACTGATAATAACCTGATATTCTGTTTTAACTATGCTATTACACTGACATCTTAATGTTATATGTACAACTTAATATACAATGCTCATTCTATAAAGAAGCAACAGCAAAAATTATACTAAAATTGTATTAAATGGATGTACTTAAGTATACTAGAAATGTTAAGAAAGCCATTTTGACCTATCCATTTTGCATGTCCTGCAAGGTAGGTAGATAGAGAGGCCTTCAGTAGATTAACATGTGATTAAAATACAGTTTTCTGCTTTAATTTGTCTTTTAAAGGCTTATATTTAAGTTTTCATGATTTCACATACATTGTGGTATGTTCCGAGCTCTGAATCGTGTGTGTGTCGTCTGTGTGTTCATTTACTGTGGAGCACTTGGTGGATGGGACTTCTATAATGTATTTTCTGTTTTCTGTTGGGCTTCACAAAAACTTCTAAACAGTAACACAGATTGGCTGAGTCCGAGTGTGCTATCAGCTGGTGAAAGCAGTTCTTTCACAGGGTCCTCAGGGAGCCTTGTTTCCAGGGCATAAGACACTCACTCCTCTTAACAACATATGATGTCATTTTGCAGTAGTACCACAAGGATAAAGTAAAAATATCTTCACTTATTTCTTGTGTGAAAAGTAATATGTAGTCCATTTGGAGAAATAACACAAAATAGTCATATATTATGTGTTAGGTAATTGCTTGAGACTAGAGATACAAGGATAACTAAAACATGGCCCAGCTAAACCCAAACCTGCTGTCGATTCCAACTCAGTGACCCTGTAGGACTGAGTAGAACTGCCCTGTGGGTTTCTGAGGTTGTAAATCTTTAAGGAAGCAGACTGCCTCTTTCTTTCTCCTGGAGAATGGCTTGTGAGCTTGAACCACCAACCTTTAGATTAGCAGCCCAATGCTTAACCCATGTAATAAGAAAACTTGAGGTCAGTAACAAATGAAGTAGGGGACCTTTGTGAGGCAAGATGTTCAGTTTAGTTTCCACAATGGGGGGGGTCTTTGTCCCATGTGCTTTATATTCCTCTAAAATTTGAGTGTTGTACTGGACATACCTCTAACTACCCATTACAGTTTTAAAACGGACCAATATGAAATATGCTCTAGGGAGAGGCAAAATCAAAAGCGCTGCATTTGCCCCAGGACAAAATTCAGAAGGGTTAGGAAAGGAGGAGGGATGGAAACAGTGAGCACAGGGTAGAAGTGAGATGAGTGGTGTTCTTTTGTGGGGACAGCCCTCGATGGCGTGAAACAAGATGTGTATGAATTGTCAAATGGAAAGCTGATCTGCTCTATAAACCTTTCACTCAATTCACAATAAAATATTTTAACGTATCATTTGAGTAATAAACCCTATGGCACGTAGCCTCTTTGTTCTTTCACATCTTGGAAACAGTACTTGTGTTTGATTCTGGTTACTTTATTTGATGGTCCCGCTTCACGTTGTGCTTCATTGGTGTGCGGCCATCACTTTATGCTAACAGGACATCTCAGTCTAAAGTATGTTATAGGGAAGTTTTTTTCTTTGGCAGATGGGAGATTCTTTGGTCAGAGAGACCTACGAAGGTGAATGCTTCCCAGGCTCGTCAGTTTAAGCCTTGTATTAAGCAGATAAATTTCCCCACAAACCTTTTGCGGCTGGAAGTGAATAGTTCTCTTCTGGATTATTACACTGAATTAGATGCAGTCGTGCTCCATGGTATGGAGGACAAGCCAGGGCTGTCTCCCAAGACTTCAAGCATGGACATGAATGGTCTGGAAAATGATGATGATGAAGAAAATGATGATTGTGGAATGGATACTCTTAACAAAAAGTTTAGCAGTGCTGCTCTCAGGGAATGGCCAAATAATGGATATTTTGATAAACTACCTTATGAGGTAAGCTGAAAATATTTAGTAGCAATATTGGATATTACATTGTAACTCTGTAGCCGTTTAGATATTCATGGCTGTTTTACTAGATAATTGGTAAATTGCACATAATCCTGTGTATAGCACATTTGGATTTTTTAAAACTAGGCAAAATGATGTTAGAGGATTTTACCTTGTTTGTTTTAATTGAACTTTAATGATTCTGGATTTACTGCTAAATATGGTATTCTATCACTGTTTTGATAAGAGTTCCCAGCTGGTATAGCTGGTGAAGTGTTGGAGTATGAGCTCACTAGTTCAAGCCCACTTGGAGGTGCAGGGCCCGGCGCTCTGCTTTTGGAAAGTCCCAGCTCTGACTTCAGAGCAGCTCTGCCCTGCACACCCCGGGTCACCAGGAATTGGAACGACTTCACAGCGACTCATCACAACTAAAATCAGTAGAAATAAAGCAATAAATTAGGCTCTATTTTGTAACTATAAGTGTGGGCATTGGACTCAACTATCCACACTTTATGTTAAAGATGATTTGCTATCAAAATTAAAAGCATTGAGATTGTAAGAGGTATGCTTATTCCTCTTAGTATTCTACAGTTTCTTTGAGCTCTATTTATTCTTCTACCATATGTTCCTTCTACCGTCTTCTGACTGACTGTACTTTTTGGATTTTATTTGGACATATTCTTTTTTCCAATAGGTCTCTACAGGGGCCTTCTGCAGTAGGAGGTATTTATCTTTCCTGCCACCTTGGCATTAAATGCCAGTCGCATGTCACTCATGTGACAACCCAAACCTCTGCCTGCATGCTTCCTTGGGGTTGGGACAGCCCCAGACCTTTTTGTCCCTTGCTGAGGGATACTGTTGTTGTGGTTGCCATTGTTAGGTACCATCGAGTTAGTTCCAACCAGTAATGAGTATTCTATATGGTTATAAATACCATAACCAAATTTATTTGTAAGAAAAATGTACTCTTAAATTATAGCCAATTTAGATTCTCCATTGTAATAGCATAAGTACCTTAACTTTTTGAACAATAAGACACCTTTTGAATGCCTGGCATGATTAATGGTTATTGTGCCTAGGTAGCATTTGATAGTTTATATTCTGTGAAGTTGCTCATGCCACATCGCAATGCCTGGGAGTTCAAGGTAATCCAGTCAGCCAGCCAAGCCTGGAAGGAAGGTCCAACTCAGACATTCTAATCCAGGTTGTGTGTTATGGAAAGGAAGCTTTGCAGATGGAGAAGGGCCCTCTGGCCCTCGCTAGTGAAGATCGCAGAAAGATGAAAGAAATGTTGAGCTGGTGAGAGAAAGGCATGAGGAATACTGACAGCTATTGTCCTGCCGAGAAGAATCTGTCCTTGCAGCCGTTGGAGTAGTTTAGTCAAAGAGAGTGAATCACATTCTCTGATTCTTACACATTTTCTCAAACTGAAAAACCAAAATGTAAATTTACAAATATAACTGAGATGGTTTGTGAATTTTATTCTGACCTGTTAAAATACATGACGCATGACAGTCAAATGAATATCTAGTGAATGACTGTGGAAATCTTCAGGCAAAGGGAAGATGTACAAAGGTGAGGAGACATGAAGCTGCATGGGAAGCTGTTTGGGAACTCCAATATTTCAGAATGGCTGGATCCAAGCATTTGGTAGGGGACATGGTGGAGAGATGAAAATAAATGGAGACATGAGGCTGCTTGCTTCATTCATGTATGTGTTAATCCAGGCAGACTAGAGAAACAAATTCATAGACACACATGTGTATAAGAAACAGCTTTATATACAAGAGCAATTGAATATTGAGAAGACATCCCAGCCCAGTCCAGATCAAATCCATAAGTCTGATATTAGCCCATGTGTTCCATATCAATCTATAAAGTCCTCTTTTGATTCACAGAACACATGTAATGATGTTGAATGCAGGAAGATCACAGGTCAGTGGGTGGGAAATCTTGGGGATACAGTGGCAGTAGGGGTATGTCAGCACTGGCAGGAGACTCCACGTGACTTCTCCAGCTCCAGAGGTCTGGCTCCATCAGCTTTTCTCTGTGTGGTCTCCACATGGTTTCTCCAGCTCAGGGCACTAGCATAGTTCCATGTGTCCTGTCAGCTGCAGTGTCTCTCTGGGAGTGAGTTGAAAGTGAATGTCTCCCACCTCCAAGGAGGAATAAAGAAGTTCCCAGAATCCTCAGGAGAAGACCATGCCCACACAGTGTCCTCATTGGCTATGACCGGATTGACAGGCTAAACTCCACCTCTTTACTCTTAAGCCTCAAATGGACAACAGATTATGTAACTTTGACAACGTACATGGTAATGATGTATATTCCTCAGAAGTTTACATTTTATTTCTTTAACCAGTGGTCCTGAGGGTGTTGTGTTTCTCCGTAATCAGTTGGGAGCAGTCAGAAAATAACAGACTTTGTAAATAGTTGACTTTTGTTAACAAGTTAGAGCAGATTCAAGATACAGGAATTATACCTGTAATAATTTCACACCCACTTTCCTCTGTTCTCCGGGGTTCCTAGTCTGTTCTTTTTAGCATGGGAGAAAAAGGTATGAAATGATAGCGAATATTCTAGGAGTTAGCCATAAATACAGGCATTTTTGTACATGCATTGACCCACAATTAAAATAATCCCTGAGGTGCTTCATGGGGGATTTTGTCTTTCAAGCATGTCAATATTTTTTGTAAGGAGTAGAAAAATTACTGACAATTTTGCATTATTCTGTTTTAAGAAGAGTAACAAAATGAGATTTCAGTCTCTGGTAGTAAATATAGAATAGTCCAGCAGGAGGTCAGAAGAGAAGCAGGGTTCTCAGACAGGAAGCTAGTGTGGTAATTCAGGCAGGAATTGATAAAGCCCTAGAAATAGGAAGGTTTGGGGAAGAGATAAACATCCAGAGTTTCAGACTCTACACATCAAAATGAACTGGTGAATATGAAGATGAAGCAGAAAATGAGGGACTTTCCGGTTTCCGTTAGAAGGACATAGTGGATGGAAGTTTCATTAACTGTAACACCAGCATTAGAGTACGAGTGTGGAAAAGACATTAACTTTGAGGTGTCTGTGATAGATGAAAGCAGACTTGCTCTTGAGGACAGTAGGTGGTTGCTGAGTTTGAAATTCTAATATAGGTTTGAGTGAGTCTACTAGAGCAAAGAGGAGAAGGGGGAAACCATGGTGAATGCAATTTCTAGTGAAACTCCAGAGTGAGAACAAAGGGTCAAACATAGAATTCCAACATCTGAGGGTCACACAGAAGAACAAACAAAGTGCTGTGAAGCTAGGAAAGTAGCCAGTAACATTGACTGCTGCAGAGCCAAGTTAGAAATTAGAAGTGCAGAGCTAAGTTAGAAGTGCCCGTGTTTGGAGGTCATTGTTGGCCCTTTACCATTCAGGTCATTGTTGGCCCTTTACCATTCAGTTCAGGGCCTGAGGCAGCCTTCCCAGACTTGATTAAGGGACTAAGGAGAGAGGAAGAAGCTTCATTCATTGTGGTATCAAATGGTACTTGATGCTAGGATACCCCTATATAAAAGTACATTTTGACAGACAGGTAATTAATGATTAATGAGTGTTATAGGCTTGAAACCCGTTAATTTTTATTTCATCAAAATACAAAAGTACTTTCTATGTATCAGTGACATAGTTTCCTTGTTTTTTTTCTATTTTGCTATTTGCTTAAAATAATAGTGTTAAGTATTGTAGAATATTTTCATAGTATACATCTTTCAGTATAGTAGCATTTTGGAATCATGCCAGAAATTTTTAGGGATTATTTAAATTACAAATCATCTGGAAAGAGTAAATTACTTATCCTCTGATGCAGAGTTATATCTAATTTTCAGTGCCTCTTTGTACTGATTGCTTTAAAATTCTGCTGAAATCTCTTTTAACATTAAAACTTGCTTGTGTTAAAACAACAATATTTTAATTCATTCTATAAAAATTGACTGTTGCCAAACCCAAATGGTTCCGTAGGTTCTTTGAAACAGTTAAGGGATGTATGATTCCCATAAGGAGCCTAGGTAGCATAGTGGGTGAAGCTGCAAAGTCAGTGCTTCAAACTCACCAGCCACTCAGCAGAAGACCAATGAGGTTGTCTGCTCCTGTGAAGGTTTACAGTCTTGGACACCTATACAGTGTCACTGAGAGTTGGAACAAACTCAGTAGCAGTGGGTAAAATATCTATAATCCTTAAACTCCTTCAGAGCATAAAGAAGGAGGAAAGTTTTGTAAATATTAAGATAGCACACAGAAAATAACAGATCAGTTATATTTTTATTATGACTATTAATGCCAACATCTTAAGAGTGGACAGTAAATAGAATTGTTTTCCAAGAATAGTAAGACGAAGTAATCTAGAATTCATATATACCTGGAATTCAGTTTTCATATTAGAGAATTATATATGAATATTATAATACTAAGTCAAAGGAGAAAATCCTATAGTCTTCTCAGTAGATGTGTAAAATTGTTTGATAAATGACAGCTAAATCCAAATTTTCATTTGTTCTTGATTTTATAAAGTTCCTTTGCGAGTGTACTTATTAGTTGTCTGCTGCCCAGGACATTTCCGAGAAGAAGAGCAGCAGAGGGGGTGCTAGTCTTGCCAGAAATTATGAAGCTCTAGGATTGATAATTATGAATTAACAATGAATGTAGATTCTCATTTGGAATCAAACATTTCCGTGCATTCCAATATATAAACATTTAAAAGTTTAGATACTGCATTTGAAATTGACCTGAAGAGCTATTGATGATAGAAGAAACAATGGAGAGACAACAGGACAGAATCCAGGGATGGACCAACAAGAAAAAATGAATCATTTGGCACGCCCTTGACAAATAGCTGGTTTCCATATTTAATAGCTATGTTAGTCTGGGTAGACTAGAGAAACAAATTCCTAGAGACACTCATGTATATAAGAAAGAGCTTTATATGCAAGAGCAGTTGAATATTAAGAAAATATCCCAGCCTAGTCCAGATCAAGCCTATAAGTCCGATAATAGCCCATGTGTCCAATACCAATTTATAAAGTCCTCTTCAGACTCACAAAACACATGCAATGATGCTGAATGCAGGAAGATCACAGGCCAGTGGGTGGGAAGTCTTGTGGATCCAATGGCATTGTAAGCATCTCAGCACTGGGAGGGGTCTCCACGTGGTTTCTTCAGCTCTGAAACTCTGACTGCCTCTGGGTAGCTTCATGTGGCTTCTTCAGCTCCCAGGGCATGAGGGCACGGGCTATATCCGCATAGCGCCATGTGTCTTGTCAGTAGAGCATCTCTCAGGGAGTCAGCAGAGAGAGAGTGTGTGTCTTCTGCCTCCAAGGAGGAAATACTGGAGTTCCCAGAATCCTCAGGGAAAGGCCATGCCCACACAGAGGTCTCATTGGCTGTGACCCGATTGACAGACTAGACTCCACCCCTTCACTCTTAATCCTCTCAAGTCCCAAATTAACACCAGATTATGTAACTACCACAGTAATAAAACAACCATACAAGAAAAACTGCAAACAAGTCAATATTTTTGTGTGTGCTTGTTTGTTTTTGACTTATAGAATGGCAAAATTGAAACCTTTGATACCAGTACTGTCTAAGACATAGGTGAATGGATGTATTTATATGTTGTTCATGGCTTTATAAGTCGGTGAAAAAACATTCTGAATTGCAGTTTTGCACATATATGAGCTCTTTTCATATATGTGGACCTTATTCCAAAAATGTACGGCAAAAGTGTGACAAGATGTGTATAGATTTGCACATTCGCAATACACACATTAATGTTACAACACTGTTTGCCGTAGGAAAAAGAACAGAAAAAGAATGTGCGAATCTGTATGTGCAGACACAGAATGAGCTACAAAATATACATCAAATGAGATAAGCAAGGTACAAAACAGTGTATGTGATATCCGTAACAGTATAAACCTAAGTCTAGAATCGTGAAGGGATCATTAGAACTGCTAACAGTGGTTCTCTGTAGAGGGAGGTAGGTAGGGGAAGGGTAGAAAAGGAAGAACATCTTATTTTATATTTTTCTTAAATTCTTGGGTTTTCTTTTACCCCTGTACTGTAGTGGTTCGCAGGGTTATCGGAATAATGAGATAATCGACTGATGTTTAATTTAATACCTTTCTCTGTCAAAAGCATATGCCAACATACACACACATACACACAGGCAAAACCTATACTGTTTTTTAAAGCCTACTTCCAATGTTACAAATAAATAGCAAAAGCATCCCAAAATTTTTATTAGTCAGCTGATGCGCATGTTTTTTAGAAACATGCTTTAAACTTACTTCAAAGATCATTTTGTGGTCAATCTATATTCCTTTATACTTTGGCCTACAATAGTAACATTCTGACCTGGACTTAATACTGACTCTAGATAGTGAAATAGAAAACCTACTAGATTCAAGGGCATATTTACAAAACAAAAGGCCTAGCTAGATTAAATCCCCAGCAGTAAGTAAAACCCAGCTTCCTCTTTCAACTAAATGCTTTATTGGCTTTTGTTTTTCACCACGTAGCAAATAGCTTTGGTTTTCTTTTACGTTATTTTGTGATTGCTGTTAAGAACAGGATATTAGCAATAGTTTTCTCTGAAACCCAGCTTAGAAGCATCTAAGTTTTCAATCATTAGGAAGGAAGTCTTGCACTAGAACTCCCTCAACACAAGAACACTTTGTTCTAATAATACAGCATTTTGAGACGCTCACCTTCCTGACACAATTGCTGAAGACAAATGGATGCATAAGCAAACGTGGTGAAAAAAGCTGATGGTGCCCAGCTATCAAAAGAGATAGTGTCTGGGGTCTTAAAGGCTTAAAGATAAACAAGCAGCCATCTAGCTGAGAAGCAACAAAGCCCACATGGAAGAAGCACACCAGCCTGTGTGATCATGAGGTGTCTATGGGATCAGGTATCAGGCATCAAAGACCCAGAAAAAAAAAATCATGTCAATGTGAATGGGTGGTGGGGTGAGTGTGGAGTGGAGGCCCAAAGCCCATATGTAGGCAGTTGGACATCCCCTTACACAAGGGTCACGGGGAGAAGACGGGCCAGCCAGGGTGCAGTATAGCACTGATGAAACATACTCCTTTCCTTTGATTCTTTAATGCTTCTCCCCACCCCTTTCATGGCCCTAATTCTACCTTACAAATTTGACTAGACCAGAGCATGTATACAGGTACAAATAAGAGCAAGTATACAAATACAGGGAACTCAGGACAGATAAACTCCTTGGGACCAATATTGAGAGTAGCCCTACCAGGAGGGTAAGGGGAAGGTTGGGGGAAAAGGGAACAGATCACAATGACCTCCCTACAGTGACCTACCTATACCCCCTCCCAGGGTGATGTACAACAGTTAAGGGGTAAAGGGAGACATTGGACAGTGCAAGACATGGAAAACTAATAATTTACAAATTATCTAGGGTTCATGAGGGAAGGAGGGAGGGGGTGGGAATGAGCTGATACCAAAGGCTCAAGTAGTATGAAAATGTTTTGAAAAATGATGATGGCAACAAATGTCCAAATGAGCTTGACACGATGCATAGATGGATGGATTGTGATAAAAGTTGTACGAGCCCCCAATAAAATGATTTTTAAACAAGAAGAAGTCTTGTACTCGTTCAGGGAGACAATTTGACTTAAAGATAAGAGTCTTGCTAATAATATCTTTGTACTGCTTTTTTGTTGTTGTTGTTGTTCAGATCTTTACTAGTGGGTCTGTGAACTGCAAAGTCAGCAGTTTGAGACCACCAGCCACTCCAAGAGAGAAAGATAAGTCTTTCTAACCCTGTAGAGGTTTACAGCCTCCCAAACATGAGTTGAAATAGTCTTGATGGCAGTGAGTGAGGTGACTGGTGGTGCTGTAGGGTAAACACTGGACTGCTAACTGAAAAGTTGGTGGTTCAAACCCACTAGCTACTCCTTGAGAGAGCGATGGAGCTGCCTGCTCCCATACAGCTGTAGCAAGCCCCAGAAACCCAATGCAGAGTCACTGTAAGTTGGAATTGACTCAATTTCGATGGGTTTGGGTTTTTACTGTGCTGTCAGCAATGAGAGTAAGAACTGTTCTATCGTCATTGTCTGGTGTGTAGTAGATATTCACCAAATACTGAGTGTATAAAAAAAATTGTAGAGTTCAACAGATCATCTCCCAAGATAATCTGCAAGATATCTTTCTTTGCACCCTAAGAAAGCGAATAGTCAACATGAGCCTAGTCCACTGAACAGTTTTGAAATGTCAAACAAGTATTATTTCTTTGCATTTAGATAACTCTTGAATGTTCATTTGCACATGAAAATGGTTTTATAAACTGTAGAATACTGCTCTTTATTAGGCTATGTTGCATGCTTGCTAACATGATACTTGTTTTGCAGTCTTGATAATCTTCATGTCTTTTGTTTTACGTAGCTCATTCAGCTGATTCTGAATCATCTTACGCTACCAGATCTATGCAGATTAGCTCAGACTTGCAAACTCCTGAACCAGCACTGCTGTGATCCTCTGCAGTACATCCACCTCAATCTACAACCGTACTGGGCAAAACTGAGTGATACGTCTTTGGAATTTCTACAGCCGCGCTGCACTCTTGTCCAGTGGCTTAATTTGTCTTGGACGGGCAATAGGGGCTTCATCTCTGTTTCAGGATTTAGCAGGTTAGTGCAAAGCCTTGATGCACCAGCAGGCTTGATGTACTATATTTTCACAATAAAAGTTTGAAATCCTATGCCATGTACTTAACAGATATGAAAAGGCAAAAGCCTTTTGTGTATCACCTTACAGAATGCTGCATATTTAAATGAATGAGGGTTCCTGTCTTCCTCAGCTAAATGTCTTAGTAGTCAAAGGAAAGCTATGCCCTTTACCTCATATTTAAAAAAAAAAATTCTTGCAACTTTCAACAGAATTCCTTTTTTTCCTTCCTTTTTCAGCACAGATGATTAGCACATTTAAGAAAGCATTTCCAATCAAAATCTACCTCTCTAATGTGATTTGTCAGAAATGGAAAACAATTTATTATAGAACATTTTTAATTAAATCTTAATTACATGTGCAGTACATCACCCAGATTTAGAAGCTCAATTAAACTAATTACGCTGAAAATGCAATTGCATGAGAAATAGACGACCACATTGGCAGACCTGCCCAGGTGTTTCTGCTCCTTTCTATTTCCACATTAAGTTTCCTTACTATTAAATATCACCTGTTAAACGTTTGAAAGCTTACACAAGTGCATACTCATTTTGTAAGGCCTTAGTGATTTTTCTTAGGATATGAACAGGTGCTTTTAACCTTCATGATGGTGGCTTTCATTGTATATGTTATGGTATAAACCTATCATTTTCATGAAGTTAAACAATGAAAGAGTAGAAACTGTTACTTTTCACTAGCGAATAATCCATTGCCCTGCTTTTAAAATCTACAAGTGAACCACAAGTCTCCCCACACACATCCCCAGTTGGCTACATCCTTGGATGGGGGCTTATGAATTGGAAATTTGCATTGAGTTTTGCTTCCCCTTGACTCTGGTTCTTAAAATGAAAATACAGTTCCAGTATTGAATACTTTCTTCCCACTCGATTCAGATGAAGTCATACTGTTTGAAATCATAACACGGTGTTACTAGTGCTAACATGGATTGTTTATGCATCAGAGTAAGACATAATGCCTTGTGCATATTGACATTATGGTTGCACTGAATTTGTTTCTGCCAGAGAGAGCTAGGGGAAGGAGTTCTTAAATAAAACCTTACCGTGTTGTGGGTCAAGAAGGTGAACAACATGTTAGAGATAAGATGTTGGTTTTGATTATGTGAATTTGCTCAATGGGGAATCTAGTAGAAAAATAAGGCATTGTTTTAGCAATGTGATTGCAGTGAATCATATTTTTAACGGCACTAGACACTTCCATCCAGTGCAACACAACTTAGTCCTTTCCATCTTTTTTCTGTACATGTACTTCATCTGCATATTTCCTCTGCTAATCGGACCAGGAAGAACTCAAGCCAGTGACAGCTATGGGTATTTAGAAAATATATCATTGATCATAAACCACGGCCAAACTGAATCTGAGAACAGATGGAACTATGTTTATTAGTAAACATTGTTATAGGTAGAATTGCTGCTTTGGGTTTCTAAGACTACGTCTCTGCAGCCTCATCTTTCTCCCGCAGAGCTACTCCTGGTCGGTTCTAACTGCTGACTTTGTGGTTAGCAGCCCAATTTGTACCCCATAATGCCGCCAGGGCTCCTTTGTGGTATTTCAGTTTTTGTTATAACTCTTTGATGCTTTCCACTATTAGGAAATTATGAAGTGTTTGTTTTCACTCAGGGTGTGTAAAGTATTGTTCTGTGTGTTACTGACCAAGTTGACAGTTGTAGGGGACATATGAAGTTGTTCAGAGAGTTCATGGAAAATGTGTTTTATGAACTAAGGATACATGGTTTCCAAAAATGCCTTACATTAGGTAGGAGAAGGCATCCGTTTGAAAAAAAAAAAACTCCTATCAGGGCAGCATGAATTCTGCTTCAACATCAAAGTAAAACCAACCCAGAATGGTGAAATCACTGATGCTCTTAAGAAAAATTTATGGGAGTGAATGATGGGGGGAGTGCGGAGTGGAGATCCAAAGCCCATTAGTAGGCCACTGGAGATCCCCTTGCAGAGGGGTCTCGGGGAGGAGATGAGCCAGTCAGGGTGCGATGTAACAATGATGAGAAATACAACCTTCCTCTAGTTCCTAAAGGTTTCCTCCCCGCTCCCACTACCATGACTCGAATTCGACCTTGCAAGACTGACTAGACCAGAGGATGTACACTGGTACAGATAGGAACTGAAAATACAGGGAATCCAGGACGGAGGAGCCCTATAGGACCAGTGGTGTGAGTGGCAAAACAGGGAGGGTAAAGGGAGAATGGGTAGGGAAGAGGGAACCGATTACATGGAACTGTGTGTGACCTCCTCCCTGGGAGACAGACAACCAAAAAGTGGATGAGGGGAGACGTCGGACAGGGCAAGATATGACAAAATACCCATTTATAAACTATCAAGGGCTCATGCGGGAGGGGGGAGCGGGGAGGGAGGGGAAAAATGAGGACCTAATGTCGGGGGTTTAAATGGAGAGAAAATGTTTTGAGAAACGATGTACAAATGCGCTTTACACAATTGATGTGTATATGGATTGGGATAACAGTTGTATGAGCCCCTAATAAAATGTTAAAAAAAAAAATTGAAAAAAAACAAAAACAAAAACAAAAACAAAAAAACTTTCAAAGCTCAAAAAAAAAGAAAAGAAAAGTTTCTGGGGACATTGCCCCAAAGAAATAAAGCAGTTTGCAAAGGAACAACTCAAGAAAGGATGAGATTGGCAGACCATCTATATCAGTTTGTGGGGAAACTATTAATCTTGTTCCTTTCCCCTCATTGAAGAGAACCAACGATCAACAGCAGACGCAATAGCTAGTACCTTAGACATCTCAAATGGTTTAGCTTACTTGATTCTGACTGAACATTTAAATTTGAGCAAACTTTCTGCTTGCTAGAAGCCAAAACTGTTATACCCAGATCAGCGGCAGAGAAGGTCAGAGCTTTCGATGGACATTTCAACTATGTAGGATCAAGATCCTGAAACATTTCTTAGAAGAATTGTAATAGGAGATGAAATGTGGCTTTACCAGCTTGATCCTAAAGACAAAACACAAGCAAAATAATAGTTCTCAAGAGGTGGAAGTGCTCCAGTCAAAGCATAAGTGCAGTTTTAGGAATGCTCAGGCATTTTGCTTATTGACTTTCTCACCAAAATCCCAAACTCGCTGTCAAGTCAATCCCAATTCATTGTGACCCTATAAGACAGCGGTTCTCAACCTTCCTAAAGCCACGACCCTTTAATATGGCTTCTCATGTTCTGCTGACTCCCAACCATAAGATTATTTTTGTTGCTATTTCATAACTGTAATTTTGCTACTGTTATGAATCGTAATGTAAACATCTCATATGCAGGATGTATTTTCATTGTTACAAATTAAACATAATTAAACATAATGAAAGCATAGTGATTAATCACAAAACAATATGTAATTATCTATTGTGAGATATTTATGTGTTTTCCAACGGTCTTAGGCAACCCCTGTGAAAGGATGATTTGACCCGCAAATGGGTCGAGGCCCCCAGGTTGAGAACCACTGCATAAGACATGGTAGAACTGCCCCTGTGGGTTTCTAAGGCTGTAACTCTTTATGGCAGTGGAAAGCCTTATCTTTCTTCCACTGAGAGGCTGGTAAGTTTTGAACTGATGACCTTAAGGTTAGCAGCCCAAGGCATAATCACTGTGCCACCAGGGCAGGGTCAAGGAAAGCTAGTGCCTGCTTGTCATGAGAATGTTTTGAGAAAGTTAGCCAGAGAGTTACCAGAAAATACCTGAGAGTCTTTCCCCGGCGCAGGTGTCAACTCATTTCTCTCATCCAACAAGGCAATTTTGGGGGATTTTCTTGGTGAAGTCCACCTCACAGTCCTGATTTGGCTCCTTCTGACTTCTCTTTGTTTCCCCATTTTAAAATGTCTTTAAAAGACACCCATTTCCCCCATTAAATAATAATTTAATACATTTGTGTATGGCTTATTAGGGATATTGTGGGGAAGGGGAGGTTGGAGGGAAGAAAATAACCATTGGCATCGTTAAATTCTCCGGACCCTCAGCTCTTTAGGTGTAGAACGAGTAGCGCATCACTGCTTACAGAGTACGCATGATGGAGCTTACATTGAGAAACAGCGTTTGTATTTTTGTTTTTATCTTTAATTCCATTTGTCCATGAATTTTATAAAGTCCCCTGTATGAAACAGTTCTTGCCTTCAGCATGCAGAGGAAATAAGGTATAAAGATAAAGACCTGAACATGTGCTTTACTTATTTACGTTTATAAACTGACCAGATGGCAACTTGTGAGGATGGACATTAGAGGAAACATTGGTTGGGAATGGCTGGAGTGCTGCTTGCATTGTTGCTGTGCTGCATCTGACCTTGACTTAATGAGCACAAGACAAACATAACAACTCAATTTTTAAAAACTCTGTCTGGCTCCTTCCGGTATATGAGAAGCTTCATGAGCTGTGAGAAGGAAACTTTGCAGTGCTGTGTTTTAAATTCTGGACTGATTAAGGATGAAGATCCCATGCAAGGCTAGAGCTTCAGTTTACTTTCTCACCAGCAGTTTCTCAACTGTTAGCAATTTGCTCAAGTTAGCTGCTCTGGGGCTGTTTGAGTAATCACCAAAATACGTCCATAAATTTAGGTTCTCCGCGTTTTATTGTACCATTTCAGCCTGTAAAGCAGTAAATCTCAATAGCATCCCTTCAAGCACATTCACTCTTCCCAACAAGAAAAGAAAAAGTTTAAATAACAGAGATTCTCTGTTGGGGAGGGGAGTGCTGAAGTTTTGCCGACTGATTGCTGTTGGCCCCCTTGACTTGACTGCTGAATTGATAGTCATTATGGCTTGTAGGCAGCATTCCCAGAATAAACAATAAATATTCATACCTTGATTATTAATGAATAATCTATGAATAAGTATCATCTATTTATGCTCATTACTGTGAAGAAGATTTATTTATAATACTTTAAAGGGGGGAAAAAGTACATTTTTAAACTAGACACCAATGATGATGAGCTGCTGTTCTAGCAAGTCTCTGGGACAAAGTTGGATATCATTTATGTTTGTTGCCTCAAACTTTATCGTCCCATACACAAACTGTTTAGCTGGATTTCAAAGAATTTGGGAAGGTAGGGGAGAGAAATTGTAGTATTCTGAAGAGCAGGGAAATAGGCTAAATTGGAATAATGAGTACTTTAAACTTTTAATCAGTTATTAAAATCCTATTCCAACTGCAGATTTGTGATTTGCAACTTCGAGTACTGCTCATGCATATCATTACTTATTAAAATCACATCTATTATAATTCCACTTTCCTTTCTGATAGAGTTCCCTGAAGTCTTGGATATCCCTTTGCCTCCCTGCCTGCCTGTTTGTGCTTTGAGGCGTAATGACATCATTCTGATGTTCAGAAAGCCTTTGGTTCATTTTTGCACTACATTTTCCCACAGAGTTTCCCATAATAATCACCTTGATTCCCACTTCAGTTAGAAATGAGCTTTTGCCCCAGCCCTGCTGTTTTACCCCTTTCACCTGTTGTTCTCGCTGCCAGCTAGTCAGAGCTGACCCCTAGCCGCCTGCCTGTGGGCTTCGGAGACTGTAACTGTTTACAGGAAGAGAAAGCCCAGTCCATCTCCCAAGTTGTTAGCAGTGCATATTCATTCTTTCAGGAGACTGTCCTGTGTATTCCCAGATGCAAGAAATTCAGTAAATCTTGTGACACACAGTGTTCGTTCATGGTCTAAGATGCTTCTTGCCCATCCATAACTTTGTTTAGTCAGTTCTATGCCTTTGGATTATACAGTTGTCTTTCTTAGCCTGCCAACTCCTAGAGCGTAGCAATAATTTTAAGACTCTTTCCCCTTCCTTTTATCATTGCTAGACCATACAAGCACACAGCTAAATGGAAAGATTTGTTTCTAATGACCTTATTTTGTATCAGATAAATAATGCTCTAAATGGTTTGGGATTAACTTCTCTTAAGTATACTTTTTTATAAAAACTCTGAGGGTCAGTTAACAAAACATAAGATTAGAAATCAGAAGCACCGAGCTTTAATTTACACTTCATTCTCTCCTTACCTTTTTATAGACTTTGGCAGGTTGTGAGGATTAGTGCCTTTCACTTTGTGATGAGTAAACTCAGATTAAATCATCCATTCATGTGATGGTAATTATTTTAGGGTGCAAGTTACCACTTAGTAAATTACTTCGTATGTACTTATATTACTCTGGACAAATTAATTCACCTCATAAGGATAAGCAATTTATTTCTCTCTCTAGAGACTCCTTTTCTCATAGCAGGAGGCCTAGTTTGGGATTGTTTATGTGAATTTAGGTCTTCTCCTAATACCCCCCTTACCAAGAACTACTTTAGGAGAATTCCCATGGAATGAATAGGCCGAAGGAAATGAGGAAACTGTTGTTTTCCTCTTCAGTATCTGATGACTCAGTAGAGATGAATAAGAAGATGACAAAGACAAAAACATAATTATACACTGAAAAAATATATACGGAGAGAAAGTTTCAAAAGAAACAAGAGTTGAGAGTAGCTAATTGAAAGTGCTGCTACTTCTGCCATTGTGGGATGGAGATGTTTTGGGGGAGCATTTAGGGATATTGACCAAATACTTTGTTCATAGTAGAAAGGCAATCTAGGAGTGTTTGAGAGAAAGAGTCAGAAAGCTCAGGAGTATGGGTATGATCATTTTGTTTATTGTGCTCTGAAATTGTACAACCTGGGGAGTTTCCTACTGCCTTGTGATAGTGGGGTTTCTGGTCATTGTCTTGATATCCCTCTGATTCTTTAGAAGGGAAGAGTTCAGTGACAAGAGCAGAGGAACGAGGCAGCCTGAGCTCAGACGTTACTGCATATCCAGGTGTTTTCTTGGTGGGTTACACATTGGGCTGTCAACCTCACAGAGCCACTGGCCACTCCACAGGGCAAAGACAACTCTTGAAACAAATCATTTTATTGGGGTCTCTTTCTACTCCCATAGAGATTTACAGTATCAGTAACCCACAAGGGAAGTCCTGCTCTGTCCCATAGTGTCAGCGTGTGAATCGGAGTCAAGTTGACGTCAGTGAGTTTGAGCAGACTGGTAAGGTAGTTGGAGGTTTTAATAATCAGATAATGAATATACTCAACAAGTTACATGAAAATATTAATTTCATCTTATTTCTTGGGAATTGGGGCCAAGTAGGGAAAAAAAACAACCCAAAACCCAAAGTCACTAGAACTTAGTAGTTTCTGTAATAGGGGAAAATTATATGCATCAGGTGAGTTTTCATATTTCTAAGATGTGTTCAGCAAAGTTTCATCAGATGTTTGATGCATAGCCCCGGGTATAGCACCAAATCAAGTTCCTGAAGGATTTGAAGCCATTCATAAACCCAATATAAAAATTAAAAAAGGAAATAAGCAGCTGGTGGTTAAAAGGAAGTAACAGGTGGGAACTAAGTGATGCTGCAGTACAATATTGCATCCCCAAACGCGAGCCTGGCATCATGTAGTTTAAACTTGACTGCCTAGGCAGCATCGACAGTTGTGCTTGACTGCCGACCTAAGAGTTGACCATTTGAATCCACCCAGTGGTACTGCAGAAGAAAAGTCCCAGGCGTCTGCTTCCATAAAGATTGTAACCAAGAAAACCTGTGGGGCAATTCTACTCTTTTACACATGTGGGGATCCGCTAACAGCAACTGGCAGCAAGATTGCTCCTCCACTCCAACCTGGAATGGCACTAAAAAACTGCCATTGGGAGTTCGAGGTCCTACACCTTGTATCATATGTATAGATTTAAGGTAACACTACAGTTGAACATCTCTCAGAAATTTGGAGTTAAGCAGTCTAACTGCTAAATAGTAACTATTACAGGAAACATATCACTACAGTGTAGTTAAGCCAACCCAGGGATTTTCCGAGTTAGAGAAGTCTGGTCTTACTTGTTTTGGGGTCATGTAATTTAAGGCAGCCATTGTATATGTAGTTTTCAAATATGAATACTGAATGGATATTGATATGGGAAAGACTATCTTCTAAGAGGATAACATTTTTAAGTTTTTGTTTGTGGCTTTATTGACACAAATGTGAGTTACAAGGAAGTATAACCTTTGCTAAATTTTCCATTTCGTTAGCTGACTTTGGAGATGATATACTTCAGAATTTATCTTGTTAGGTGTGGTGGAGTTGGGTCTGATTTCTAGTGACCCTGTGTACAACAGAATAAAATTTATCTTAGGTGGATTTATTTTAGCATAATCATGTATATTTCAATATGCAATGAGTGAGAATTTAGACAAAAGAAACTCCATTTTCCCAAGAGCGTCTTCGTATCTAATTCCAAAGTTCATGTTGAGGCAGAACAGGAAGGTGGGCTTTTAAATTTTGTAGAATTCACACAGACGATTATTTTTACAGGTTCCTGAAAGTTTGTGGATTTGAGTTAGTACGCCTTGAATTATCTTGCAGCCACTTTCTTAATGAGACTTGCTTGGAGGTTATATCTGAGATGTGTCCAAACCTACAAGACTTGAATCTCTCATCTTGTGACAAACTGCCACCTCAAGCTTTCAACCATGTTGCCAAATTGTGCAGCCTTAAACGACTTGTTCTCTATCGCACAAAAGTAGAGGTAAGAATTGTTAGTTACTGTGAGGTTGATTCTGACTCTTGGCAACCTCACACGTATCTCATCATTTATATCTTTGCCAATTTCATCGAAAATTTAGTTGTCTGTACTTGCTCTTTATAATGTGATTTCTAATTTTTAAATAGAATTCAGTTTCTGATGCTATATGGATACTCTAAAATTATTAGAGCTGATTTAGTCATTTCCACATTATTAAAACTCTATTATGTTTGTTATTAAGTTTTAATAAGGAAGTGTTCTACTTCTCTGTCCTCTGAAAACCTTAAGACACTATTCATGTTCCTGAGTCAAGGAGCAAACCGTGGACTGTGAGCTGAACGTCTGGAAAGAGCTGAAGTAGAAAGATGGAACATAAGTGATTCTTTCTTTGGAGGGAGAGGAGACACAGTGGAACTTATTTACGACCAGTCCTAGGGGTTAACATTCCTGATACCACTGTATGAGGAGTCTCATTATAGGAAAATGTACTCATGACATACATGCTTTCCCCTCAGGTAATGTCTCTAAGACACCTTTCTAAGTCAGTACAAATAGTACCTGCCTTTTCAATGGCTGTGTAGAATGCCTTTACATGTTATTCCATAATATGTTTACTCATTCCCCAAATGATCAATATTGAGGTTTCTCCCATCATTTCCATTATACAGGTTACCTAGCAACAACATTCTCTACGTAAAGTTTTACATGGACGTGTTAGCCCTAGGAGTGGTTGTGGTGGTGGAAGATTATGTTCCTTTCATTTTTGCCACACCCATACCCCACCTTCTTTTTAATCGTACATGACTGGGGTCCTATGATAAATGTCCACTCTCTGTCATATACTTGCTTGGTCTATTCCAGGCACACTAATGTTCTTTTTATTTCTTGAATATTGACTTGGTCCTGACTCAGGGCCCTTTGCACTTGTTCTCCTGCCTGCCTGCACTACTTTACCAGCTAATGATTGCGTGATGGTCCTCTTAGATCAGTGTTCAATTAAAATTTCTTTTTTATTTTTTCACAGATGGCTTCTTGAACACTGGCAACAAGTAGCCTCCCTTCTAGTTTATTTCTTTCACTCCACCCAGTTTTATGTCCTTGTTAACAGCCTCATCCATCTCTGAACTCATCTCACTTATCCTCTTGTTCTTTGTCTTTCTCCTACTGCAGGATGAAAGTTTCATGATTGTGGTACTTTCTTTACCTTTCTCATCCCTGTGTTTCCAGCATCTAGTATAGTACTTGGTAAATATTAGCCTTTCAATAAAGTGTGTTAAGTGAATAAATAAAGATGACTAAATAACATCTTGATGACGATATATTAATTGCTTTCCCTGTGTAGTGGACCTGTGCCAATCTTGAATGTTAACTTGCTCAAGGTACTTAACATTTTGGTATCTTAGTATCCTCACTTCTGAAGTAGGGATAATGAAAGTATAAGTCTCGTAGGGTCAGTGTAAGAATAAAATCTTATATAAGGTGCTCAGACAATGACTGCCATAGAAAATCTGTAAAGATTAGCTGCTAATAGTAGCATAGTATCGTCATCGTCATCTTCATGACAGTCTGATAGCATGTTTAATGATCTCAAAAATGTACCATTGCTTTCACTAAAATCCATTTTAATTTCTAATTATTCTTAATAACTTGTATGAGTCTCGTTTCACTTACAAGGAAATGTCATAGCTTTCTTCGTGTAGGCCCTTTTTCTGGTTAAATTTGTTTTTTAGCAATAGCAATAATTATATTTATTAGCTTTTAGTTATTGTATCTATAGAGAAAAATATGATTGTCTTGTTCTCTATCTTGCATCTACTCACCTTATTAAAATTTTATATTCTATCATTTTTTTTCTTAAGTCTGTTGGATTTTCTAAGAATACAATCAAATGATTTAGAATTGTTATTGTTAGGTGCCATTAAGTTGGTTCCTACCCATAGCGATAATTTAAAATTAGCTGACTTTTATTTACTTTTTTGGCATACATATATCAATTGTGTGATTGCACTTGGTAGAGCTTCTTAAAGAATGTGGGATAACAGTCACAGCAGGCATACTAGACCACTATTGTGAGAGTGTCTTTATTTATTTTAACTTTTTATTATGAGTTGAGTGAAAGTTTACAAAGCAAATCATTTTCTATTTAACAGTTCATGCACATGTTTTCGGGACATTTTTTTTCAATTCCCACAATCTAACATCACTCATCTCACTTCAAACCTGCATTTCCCATTTTCATTCATCCTTCTTTCCTAACCCATCCTGCCTTCTGAATTCTGCCTTTGGGTAAAAGCTGCCCAATTTCTTTGGGTAAAAGCTGCCCAATTAAATTTCTAATTTAATTCAATTTCTAAGAAGTGCCTATATCCTTAGTATTAGTCGTCATATTATACTTTCTGACTGGAGCCCTGGTGGCATAGTAGTTATGTTTTAGGTTGAGACCTACAAGGTCAACAGTTCAAAACCACCAGCCGCTCTATGGGGGAAAGATGAGCCTTTCTACTCCTATAAAGAGTTACAGTTTTATAAACCCACAAGGGCAGTCCTGTCCTGTCCTATAGGGTCACTGTGTTGGCCAGGTTGTCTAGATAAACTCATCAATGTATAAGAAAAAGCTTTATGTCAAGAAGTAATTGTGTATCAAGAAGACATCTAGCCCAATCCAACTCAAGCCCCTAAGTCCGGCACAGGTCCCTCTTCAGACTCACATAGCTGCATTTCGGTGACACAGAATGGTGAGCCAGGAAGCAGGAAGATCGCAGGCTGGTGGGTGCAGAGTTGCATGGATCCACAGTCAGTGGAAACATGGCAAGATGCTGACATCTCTCAAGGTTAGAGACAGAATCCCTTCACGCAGGAGGCTGAAGTCGCAGACACACGGAGAGAAGTGTTCTCAATTTCTTCTTTCAAAATAAAGAGAGACAGCCAGGCCAAATCCCGAATGAGGCATCATCAGATTGTGCCCTGATTGACAGGTTGGACTGTACCTCTACACTTTTATACATCTTCAGGTTGACATAAAATCATCAATTCCCTCAGTGTCAGTGAGTTGTAATCAACTTATTGGTGATGAATTTGACTTTTGTTGTTGTTCTTTATATTGTTTTGACTGAAAAATGAGCTGTGGAAATAAGTTCAATTCTTTTTGAAGTTCAATTCTAGGCCTAAAGGGTGACTAAGGACCATAGTTTGATGGAGGCCTGGAGAAGGGGTGCCCCATCAGTGAATATATCTTTAATGCTGTACTTTTAAAAAATAGTCATACCGAAGCTCTTTGAGTACCTGTTATGGCCAGGCACTGATAGAGGTATTGAGACTTCAGCAGTGGACTCAGCTCCTTGTGTAGCTCCTGTATTTACATGAGGTTTACTGTGCCTTCTGACAAATAGTCTTGATCATAGTGATTTGCGTAAGAATATTTTATAAAATATATGTATTACGTTTTAGTAAGTATATGTTATTAAGCTCCATTAATGTACTTATCTTTATTCTTATTGTATTCATTAGTATTGTCTCACATAGTTGTTGTTTTTTTGCATTCCTGGGATTATCTCTGCTTTATCATGATGTCTTTAATTTAATACATAGCTAGGTTAATCCTGTAATATTGTGGAAGCTGATTGAATGGTTTAAATTTTAGCTCTACTACTTATTAAGTATGTGATTTTGTAGAAGTTTCTTAAGTGTGCTTCAACTTCTATAAAATTTGGTCAATAATAGTATGCATTTTCAAGGGTTGTAGTGAAGGTTAAAGATAAGTGGCTGCAACACTGCCAGTAGATACCAAGTGCTAATAAAGGTTATGTTTATTAATATTTTTGTACATTCGTTCTCTAATGGGATTTAGCCATTCAAGAAAGTTTTCCTTTTCATTTTGTTTTGTCGGGTTCAGTGCTTGGGTTATGACAGTTTGGGAAAATGAACTGGGAAACTTTCCATCTTTTTCTTTGATGTGGAATAATATAAGTAAATGGTAATTTTCTGCAGATAGAAAACCATTATCTTTCTAGTTATGTGGGCCTGTAGCTTTTGTTTTAGTGTTAAATCAGTGTTGATGCCTTTTTCTACTATATGGAAACCTGAGCGTATTCAAAGGTGAGAGTTTCTGTTTAATACAGTGGACCTGATTTGGGGCCTCATTAACAGATGAGTTGGTATGGTGAAAGCA